ATTTATGACGAAATGTGAGAGTTTTTGGGATGTTTTTTATGACAGAAATGAGAAAATAGGTTTTTTTTTTTAAAAAAAAAAGTTTTCAAAATGTTTTTTTTCAGCGCCAAAAATAAAAAGCGCACAGATGATCAAAAACCATCAAAAGAAAGCTCTATTTGTGTGTAAAAAATGGATGTAAATTTCATATATGTACCGTATTGCATGACCGCGCAATTGTCAGTTAAACTAGTGCAGCGCTGTATAGCAAAAAAATGGCGTAAATTGCAGTATCTATACCATAGTTTGTAGATGCTATAACTGCCACACAAAGCAATCAATACACACTTACAGTGGGGCAAAAAAGTATTTAGTCAGCTACCAATTGTGCAAGTTCTCCCACTTAAAAAGATGAGAGAGGCCTGTAATTGGCATCATAGGTAGACCTCAACTATGAGAGACAAAATGAGAAAAAAAATCCAGACAATCACATTGGCTGATTTGGAAAGAATTTATTTGCAAATTATGGTGGAAAATAAGTATTTGGTCAATATCAAAAGTTCATCTCAATACTTTGTTATATATACTTTGTTGGCAATGACAGAGGTCAAACGTTTCCTGTAAGTCTTCACAAGGTTGGCACACACTGTTGCTGGTATGTTGGCCCATTCCTCCATGCAGATCTTCTCTAGAGCAGTGATGTTTTGGGGCTGTCGCTGGGCAACACGGACTTTCAACTCCCTCCAAAAGGTTTTCTATGGGGTTGAGATCTGGAGACTGGCAAGGCCACTCCAGGACCTTGAAATGCTTCTTACGAAGCCACTCCTTCGTTGCTCGGGCGGTATGTTTGGGATGCACTCAAAATCTCACGATACATGGCCCCATTCATTCTGTCCTGTACATGGATCAGTCGTCCTGGTCCCTTTGCGGAGAAACAGCCCCAAAGCATGATGTTGCCACCCCCATGCTTCACAGTAGGTATGGTGTTCTTTGGATGCAACTCAGCATTCTCTCTCCGCCAAACATGACGAGTTGTGTTTCTACCAAACAGTTCTACTTTGGCTTCATCTGACCATATGGCATTCTCCCAATCATCTTCTGTATCATCCAAATGCTCTCTAGCAAACTTCAGACGGGCCCGGACATGTACTGGCTTAAGCAGGGGGACACGTCTGGCGCTGCAGGATCTGAGTCCCTGGCGACGTAGTGTGTTACTGATGGTAGCCTTTGTTTCGTTGGTCCCAGCTCTCTGCAGGTCATTCACTAGGTCCCCCCGTGTGGTCCTGGGATTTTTGCTCACCATTCTTGTGATCATTTTGACCCCACGGGGTGAGATCTTGCGTGGAGCCCCAGATCGATGGAGATTATCAATGGTCTTATATGTCTTCCATTTTCTAATTATTGCTCCCACAGTTGATTTGTTCACACCAAGCTGCTTGCCTATTGCAGATTCAGTCTTCCCAGCCTGGTGCAGGTCTACAATGTTGTTTCTGGTGTCCTTCGACAGCTCATTGGTCTTCACTATAGTGGAGTTTGGAGTGTGACTGTTTGAGGTTGTGGACAGGTGTCTTTTATACTTATAACAAGTTCAAACAGGTGCCATTGATACAGGTAATGAGTGCAGGACAGAGGAGCGTCTTAAAGAAGAAGGTACAGGTCTGTGAGAGCCAGAAATCTTGCTTGTTTGTAGGTGACCAAATACTTATTTTCCACCATAATTTGCAAATAAATTCTTTCCAAATCAGCCAATGTGATTGTCTGGATTTTTCTTCTCATTTTGTCTCTCATAGTTGAGGTCCACCTATGATGCCAATTACAGGCCTCTCTCATCTTTTTAAGTGGGAGAACTTGCACAATTGGTGGCTGACTAAATACTTTTTTGTCCCACTGTGTATATATATATATATATACATAATACATTTTTTTTTTTGAAAGGTGCAAGAATTGTGTGTGTGTGTGTGTGTGTGTGTTGGGGGGAGGGGGGGGGGGATTCAAAGATAAAGATGGGTTTTAAGTTGCAAATTTCATCTCTCAGCTATATAACCGATTACCCAGCTCATTACTTATATCCCTTGCCACCTTAAAGTTCAGAAATTTTTGATAAACAAGTAAGAAGCAGTAGATTATTTAATGAACAGCTGCCATAGCTTTTACTATGTTCTAAGTTCTTATCTGATCCTCTATTTTGTTCTGTTATATACAGATAGGCTATGATAAATTACATTTCATTAGGTGGCCTAAAAAGACAAAAAAAAAAAAAAAAGAGAAACTGGATGGAGAACTAAGGACATCTCCAATTTTTGCTCTTACACACTGGCAGAGAAGAAAACAGTGCTACGTTTTACATGCAGTTAAAAGGCAGTGTCTGTCAGTTTTCCCTACTTGCCATATCCTCAATAGAAAAACTGACAGATCACAGGAGCACCCCATCGTAAACCAATTCATGCTTCTTATTTGTTAGGTTAAAGGTTAAATTGCTGACCTGTGCCCTCCTGCTTAGCAGTCTTTCCCTTTTTTCTGTATAGCTTTATTTTTCTTCTGTATTTACATGGATTAGCCCCCTTTCACGCTAAGAAGGAATCCGTTCACAGCCAATGCCTCAGTTCTGGTTGTACAAAAAGCAGCCACAATTATTCAATGGCAGACAATGAACGTATTGTGGCTTTTCAAAATCCTCACCAGACTCTGGCAAGTCTTGTCCTTGCTTCAAAAAACAATAGCAGGGAAAAAAAATCTTATCAAGCGTTGAACATAAAGCAAACAAAGCAGGCCTACTGTGAACTTGATGAGGATGTCAGGCTTGGAAAGAAGAAAAAGAAGAGATAAATCAACTCGAAAAGAGGGGTTCCCTTATGAAGTTGTGAGGAGAAATTTGTAGTCTGTAGGTTTCTCCATCATGAGCACTTGTAGCACATTCTAGGGTGGTGAAATATGGACCCTTACAGCTTGGCTGCTCAAGCCTGGACAACTTCATGGAATGAAGATACAATAATATGCTTTGACAAAGGTTCTAAGTTAATTTTCACCTTTGAATGTTCTCTTTTATTTAGCATATGCATACTAACTGAAGTGGAACTATGGACAACAAATTAAACCTACACATATGATGTAGTTTTTTGTTTTTCTGAGTCCTCATGTAACATGGTTTCATTACTTGTTGATTCTGCCAGCAGAACTGTTATTTTTCCACTTGCTGTAACAGGAATGGCAACACTGTTTGTTCTGCAGGGACATCACACAACAGCATTTTTCTTTTTATTTGTTATGGATAGATGTGTATATCTATAGTTAGACATCATTTAGAATTTTGTGTCCAGGTCTGGAGACCTCACTTACAAAAGGATATTGATAAGATAGAATGAGTCCAGAGACAGGTAACAAAAATGGTCTGAGGGAGAAAAAAATGGTCTGAGGGAGACTTCAATTTAATAAGTACAGTATGGAGGAAAGAAAGGAAGGAAAGGGGAAATATATGATTGTATTGTTAACCACTTGCCAACCGCGCATAGCCGAATGACGGCTGCACCGCGGCCGGCTAGTTCTGGGTGGACGTCATATGACGTCCTCCCAGAACGCGCTCTCCTGCGCTCCCCAGGGGGCGCGCACCCGGCGATCTCCGTGATCGCTGTGTCCTACGGACACAGCTGATCACGTGATGTGGTAAAAGGCCAATCACAGCGGCCTTTTACCACGTGATCAGCGGTGTTCAATGACACACTGAACACAGGGAAATGCAAGTGCCGGTTCTCGGCTGCACTTTCCTCACGCTGTCAGATCGTGAGGAAAGTACTGCCGAGAACCGGCAGTTGTCAGAGCGAGGATCGGCACCGATCATCAGGGCACTGATGATCAGTGCCCTGATGATCGGTGCCCAGCAGTGACACCCACAAGTTCTGCCCAGCAGTGCGCCCACTAGCTCCGCCCACCCGTGCCCAGCAGTGCCCCCACCTGTGCCCAGCAGTGCACCCACCTGTGCCACTCTGCAGTGCCACCTACCTGTGCCCAGAAGTGCTACCTACATGTGCCCAGCAGTGCCACCCACCTGTGCCCACCCACCTGTGCCCACCAGTGCCACCCACCTGTGCCCACCAGTGCCACCCACCAGTGCTGCCCACCAGTGCCACCCACCAGTGCAGCCCAGCAGTGCTGCCAGTCAGTGACACCAGTCAGTGCCCAGGGGTTGTGCCAGTCAGTGCCCAGCAGTGATGCCAGTCAGTGCCGTCTATCAGTACCCATAATCAGTGTCACCTATCAGTGCTGCATATCAGTGCCGCCTATCCGTGACCCCTAATTAGTGCTGTCTATCAGTGCCGCCTATCCGTGCCACCTCATTAGTACTGCCTATCAGTGCCCTTTAGTGCTGCCTATCAGTGCCCATCAGTGCCGCCTATCAGTGCCCATCAGTGCTGCCTCATCAACGCACATCAGTGAAGGAGAAAAAATACCTGTTTGAAAAAGTTTATAAAAGAAACAAATAAACTTTTTTTTTTCAAATTTTTTGCACTTTTTTTATTTATAGCGCAAAAAGTAAAGCGCCCAGTGGCGATTAAATACCATCAAAAAGAAAGCTCTATTTGTGAGAAAAAAATGATCAAAATTTCATATGGGTACAATGTTGCATGACCGCGCAATTGTCAATCAAAGTGCGGCAGCGCTGAAAGCTGAAAATTGGCCTGGTAAGGAAGGGGGTATAAGTGCCTGGTAGGCAAGTGGTTAAGCACATTAAAAGGTGTCAATAAGGTTCAGAGCGGCAGTATTTTTAATATGAAGCAAAGATTAAGAACATAGGGATATGACCTCAAACTAGCAGGAGGAAAGCTCAAAACTATCCTTAGAAAGTATTATTTTACTAAAGTAGTTGATGTTTGGTATAGGCTTCCATATAAATATAAACTATATTGCCAAAAGTATTAGAACACTCCTCAATCATTGGGCTAAGGTGTTCCAATCACCTCCATGGCCACAAGTGTAAAAAATCAAGCACCTAGGTGCAGACTGTTTCTACAAACATTTGTGAAAGAATGGGTCGCTCTCAGGAGCTCAGTGAATTCAAGAGTGGTACCGTGATAAGTTGCCACCTGTGCAATAAGTCCATCCATGAAATTTCCTTGCTACTAAATATGACACAGTCAATTGTTAGTGGTATTATAACAAAGTGGCAGCAACTGGAAACAACAGCAATTCAGCCACAAATTGGTAGGCCACATAAAATGACAGAGTGGGGTCAGCATATGCTGAAGTGCACAGAAGTCACAAAGGGGTTTATTTACTAAAGCTGGAGAGTCCAAAATCAGACTCCCTTCTGCATAGAAACCAATCAGCTTCTAACCTCAGCTTGTTCAATGAAGCTTTGGCAATGAAACCTGGAAGCTGATTGGTTTCTATGCAGAATGGAGTCTGATTTTGGACTCTCCAGCTTTAGTAAATAAACCCCACAATGTCTGCAGAGTCAATAGCTAAAGACCTCCAAACTTTGTGTGACCTTCAGATTAGTACAACACCAGTACATAGAGAGCTTCATAGAATGGGTTTCCATGGCCGAGAAGCTGCATCCAAGCCTTACATAACCAAGTGCAATGCAAAGCGTCGGATGCAGTGGTGTAAAGTACGCTGCCACTGAACTCCAGAGAAGAGGAGACATGTTCTCTGTAGTGACGAATCACGCTTCCCTATTTGACAATCCGATGGACGTGTCTGGGTTTGGTTGTTGCCAGGAGAACAGTACTTGCCTGACTGCATTGTGCCAAGTGTAAAGTTTGGTGGAGGGGGGATTATGGTGTTCGGTTGTTTTTCATGGGTTGGGCTTGGCCCCTTAGTTCCAGTGAAGGGAACTCTTAAGGCGTCAGCATACCAAGATATTTTGGACAATTTCGTGCTCCCAACTTTGTGGGAACAGTTTGGGGATGGCCCCTTCCTGTTCCAACATGACTGCACACAAGTGCACAAAGCAAGGTCCATAAAGACATGGATGAGCGAGTTTGGGGTGGAGGAACTTGACTGGCCTGCACAGAGTCCTGACCTAAATCCGATAGAACACTTTTGGTATGACATAAGAGTGGAGACTGTGAGCCAGGCCTTCTCGTCCGACATCAATGCCTGACCTCACAAATGCGCTTCAGGAAGAATGGTCAAACATTCCCATAGACACACTCCAAAACCATGTGGACAGCCTTCCCAGAAGAGTTGCACCAACCCCAAAAGGGTGGGCCAACTCAATATTGAACCCTACGGACTAAGACTGGGATGCCATTAAACATCATGTGCATGTAAAGGCAGGCACCCCAATACTTTAGGCAATACAGTGTGTGTGTGTGTGTGTGTGTGTATATATATATATATATATATATATATATATATAGATAGACACACAAATACATACACACATATATATATATATATATATATACACACACACTGTAGGGTTTTCGGCTTGCTACAAATGCTATTTCATATTATGGTCCATAGGGATGCAAGGGTGGCCCTCCTGCATTGCCCAATTTTGGGTCTGTCTATGTCTCAGCAGAAATTGGCATCCTACCTATTTATTTTGGCCAAACGTGCTATAGCTCAAGCTTGGAGAACTCCTTCGGTTGTCCATATATACACACACACATACTGTACATACACACACCCCAATCAACCATAACATTATGACCACCCATTTATTATTGAGTAGGTCCCCCTTTTGCTGCCAAAACAGCCCTGGCCCATCAAGGCATGGACACCACAACTCTGAAAGTATGTTGTGGTATCTAGCACCAAGCCATCCATAGCAGATCCTGATCAGATTAAGGGCTGGTTTACACTGGTGTGCAGTGTGATCCAGCTCTGAGCTCAGCACTGTGATTATGCACTGAGCTTGGCAGATTTCCTGAATTCCTTTTTTTTTTTTCTTTTAACAAACTTCATTGAGATGACATCCCATAAAGTTCAATTGCTGGTGCGAGACAATGAACTACCTATCACCGTGCTGATAAAAAAAAAGTACTGAATGCAATGTGCCCACACCCCCCCCCGCAACGCAACGCAGTGGTGTGAACCAGGCATATAGGAGACAAGGCATTTTAACTTCTTCATGCGGTGGGACTGAGCTGGAATGGCAATCCAACCAGCCCTAAATCTGGTAAGTCGCAAGGTGAGGCCTCCATGTATCGCACTTGGTTTTGAGGCACATTGCACAGATGCTTGATTGGATTGCGATCTGAAGTATTTGGAGGCCAAGTCAACACCTCAGACTCATTGTCATCTTCTTCAAACCATTCTTGATCAATTATGGCTGCGTGGCAGGGTGCATTATTTTGCTGAAAAGGCTACTGCCACCAGGGTATACCATTTCCATTAAGGAGTTTACTTTTTACATTGTTTAGGTAGGTGGTATGTGTCAAGTTAACATCCATATGAATGGCAGGACCCAAGTTTCCCAGTAAAACAATGTCCAAAACATCACACTGCCTCTGCCACCTTGACTTCTTCCCACAGTGCATCCTGGTCCAATCTCTTCCCCAAGTAAGGGATGCACATACACTCAGGCATCCACATGATGTAAAAGAAAACATGATTCTTCAGGCCAGGCTACCTTCTTCCATTGGTCTGTGATCCAGTTTCTGATGCTCAGATGCCCATTGTAGGCACATCTGGCTATGGACACGGGTCAGCATGGGCACCCTGATGGATCCGTGGCTAGGCATTCCCATTCACAACCTGCAATGTACTGTGTGTTCTGACACCTATCAGAACCAGCATAAACGTTTTTAGCAGTTTGAGCAACAGTAGCTCTTCTGTTGGATTAGATTATACAGACCAGCCCTTTGCTCCCTACGTGCATTAATGAGCCTTGGCAGCCCATGATCAGTTCACCAGTTTTCCTTCTTTGGACCACTTTTGGTAGATCCAAACCACTGCAGACTGAGGGCATCTCACTAGAGTTGCAGTTTTGGAGTTGCTCTTATCCAGTTGTCTAACCATTACAAATTGACCCTTGTCAAAGTTGCTGGAATCTTTATGCTTGCCTGTTTTTATTGCTTTCAACACATCTTCATGGGCAACATGCTCAGGTGCTACCTAATATATCCCCCCCCCCTCCCCTATTTTCAGGTGCCATTGTAACAAGATAATCAATGTTATTCATGTAAACCCTGTTTACCTGTTAGTGGTCATAATGTTACAGCTGATCAATGTAGATAGATAATAGGTCAGACTTTTTTTTTTTCTTTTTTTTGCGGTCACTCCTTTGTCTGTAAAAAGATTTTGGCATCTCTTATGTCTCTCAATGGGAGCGAGATCTGGGTGTCTCGATTGCGGTGGAGGATTGGCGTAGGGCCTGGGGGATGGTGGCGAAATGTTCATTCAATACAGTCACTCTTGAGGCAGCCTACTAAGTCCTACTGCGGTGGTACTGGGTCCCGGCTCATACTGCTCACTTTAATCCGACTGACGTTTCCGGAACTGTGGTCTACGCGGGGATGTCTTGCACATTTGGTGGTCGTAACCGCGATTGATAGGCTTCTGGTCAAGGGTTTTTGGCTTGCTACAAACGCTATTTCATATTACGGTCCGTAGGGATGCAAGGGTGGCCCTCCTGCATTGCCCAATTTTGGGTCTGTCAGCAGAAATTGGCATCCTACCTCTTTATTTCGGCCAAATGTGCTATAGCTCAAGCTTGGAGAACCCCTTCGGTTGTCATCCAGGGGGTGCGGACCTGGATGAATGCTATGTTTTCAAGCGCCGGGGGTGGGTGGGGGTTGGGGTGCAGAGCAGACAGCGGTGACTGTCACCGAACTTGCTCAGAATGACTGAGAACTCAGCAATGAGCAGTCATGTGATCACTGAGTTCTCACACTTAGAGCCGGCGGGGGTCTGATCCACCTAGGTAATTATGCTTGGGGGAAAATAAGAAGTCCACATTTCTCTTTTAAACTAAATTATATTACGGCTGCATACAAACAGCTTAATACAGAAATCAAATATTTTTGTGAGTCTTTTTAGCGGTCATAAGATTTGTAATTCTATCTCCCTATTCCCAAGTTTTCTAGTTTAATCACCTACTGACCTCTCTCATCTTGTCAGCACTTGATTCGCTTCTAGAACTTCCCCTCACTTTTCTACTACAAAGGGGGTACAAACAGCCTGCTATTGAGATTCTGGAACTTACAAAAACTGCATTGAAAACATATTAAACGATTACATAACTGCATTGACTGGTATTTTTCATATCTTCCTGGAGTTTGGGTGTAAAACAGCCACATAATATACCTCCTTGTGGAACGTTTGCTACACAGGCTCGATGTGACCTTGTATTGCTCTAACTACCCATGACCAACTGCTGGTTTTGAAATTAACTGAAGTGAATGTGAACAGCTACATAGGTCAGAAAGAACTGGAAAATTAATTGCATCATTGCAACAGATATTATTACTTTGTTTTTGACAAGATCACAGTTTATGCCGCTTAAAGAAGCGAGTTGGCCATGCAGAATAAAATAAAGAGTACGGCTGTCATTTATCTTATGTTCATCTATAGCACCTTTACAACCCCTTTCACTGTATCCCCCTTGCTTGTGTTGTAAGATGAGTAGCCAAGTGGAACAAGTGCTCCCTAGAGTGTGGAAAACAAAAAGCTGCACGGTTATCATGGGAAGGAACGCTCTAGGAGAAACAACCTGTCAAGATGAAAACAACTCACTCAACTTTAGTTCTGTGATTTTTAGATAAAAGTGCTTTGTGTTTACAGTGCTCCTAGAAGCAAACATTTATTTACATATCATAAAATAGATTATTTATTGTTGTGCATAACTACAGACATAAAAGATACAAATAATGGAGCTATGTGCTCATTAAAACATCATTAACCACTTGACCTCTGGAAGGTTTCACCCCCCTCATGACCAGGACATTTTTTGCTATTCAGCACTCTGCTACTTTAACTGACAATTGCCCAGTCATGCAACACTGTACCCAAATGAAATTTGTATCATTTTTTTCACACAAATAGAGCTATTTTGGGTGGTATTTAAATTACCACTGGGTTTTCTATTTTTTGCTACATAAATGAATTACCAACAATTAAAAAGAAAAAAAGAATTTTTTTCCTTTCCAAAAAAATAATCTTTAGGCCGAATTGTATCCTGCTCCATTTCTTTGGTAATAAAAACCCAAATTAGTGTATATGGTTTAGTCTGCAGGAAAATTTAGAGTCTACGAGCTATGGATATATGTATATTTGGTGGCCAGTTTTACTGGTGACAGTATATTAAAAAAGAAAATTAAATAATTTGTTCCATTTTTTTTTTTTTTTTTACCACCTTGCCTACCGGGCACTTTTACTCCCTTCCTACCCAGGCAAATTTTCAGTTTTCAGCACTGTTGCACCTTGAATGACAATTGCGCAGTCATGCAACACTGTACCCATATGACATTTTTATCATTTTTTACATATAAATAGAGCTTTCTTTTGGTGGTATTTAATACCACTGGGTGTTTTATTTTTTTCTAAACAAATGAAAAAAAGACCAAAAATTTTTTTGAAAAGTTTTTTATATTTTCTATTGTAAAATTCTGCAAACAGGTAACTTTTCTCCTTCACCGATGGGCATTGATAGGCAGCCCTGATAGGCTGTACTGGTGTGGTTGCACTGATGGGCACTAATAGGTAGCACTAAAGGGTACTGAAAGGTGGCACTGATAAATGGCACTGACTGACAGCACTGATTGGCAGCACTGATGGGCCCTGATTGGCTTTAGGAGGCAGCACTGATGGGGCTGCACTCATCAGAGAACTGATAATCAGTGTCCTGATTATCAGTGTAGATGTCTCCTATCACACTTGCCGCTTATCAGCAGTACTTAACTTACGATATGACAGCGTGAGGAAAGTACTACCGATAACTAGCAAGTGTGTTTACATCGTGATCAGCTG